GGGCACAGATGGCTCACAGTGGTGTGCTGGAGGAGTAAGCCCATGCATGAGACAGGCAAGGCACAAGGCCAGGCATGCTGGTGGAGATGGAAGCCCGGCAGCTGCCAGAGGCTGGGTTCCACAGCCACTGAGCTGCAGAGCTGTCTTTATCTATAGGGATGACAGAAGGAATGAGTGTTTGGGGTACTCCATTATTATCCCAAATAATGCTGACCAGATCTTATAGTTCTACATAGAGAGGAGTTCAGGCTACCCCCTTGCCTGTTCTTCAGTAGCCTACCAGAGCCCACAGATCCATGCGTGGCTTGCAGGCATCCTGCTGGCCAGCTGACACACTTTGGTGTCACTGGGGGAATAAAGAGAGGTGTCAAGTACCTTACTGGCTCCAAGTCCCCACAGGTACTTGGCATCCTTGAGCCAAGCTCACTCATGCCTATTTGCCCAGGCGGTGGCAGAGTGAGGTGTGACTCTCCAGTCCAGGCATGGGTAGAGCCAACCCCATAGGTAAAGAAGTGGCCTGTCCTCCCAGGAATGTTTCATTGGTTCCCCTCCCTCTTTAAATAGCAGAAGCACATGTCCTTGGAGCCTCTCCCACGACTCCGGGTAGTGAGTCACAGTCATTAATGTACGCTAAGCACTTTATAGTTTATGCTGGGACCCCTCGACACCTTGGGATGTGTTTCAATACGTCTCTTCTCAACACCCGAGAGTATTTAACAGGATATGAGGCCTTTATCCACTAGAAACCATGAGTACACACTTCACCCCTTGCCAGCTGATGCCCCAAGTCCCCCAGGCACACCTGATGAATGGATGTTGCAGGCATTTTACACATACTATCCTAAAGCCTTCCCTCCCCTCCCAGGATGGAGGTCTGGAGGAAGCAGGGCCTGAACCAACTCCAAGTCTCAAGGTCTGAGCTATGTAACTGTAACCACCTTCTACTACATGTGACTTGGTTATATGGTTTCTAATGCTTGGGAGTGGGGTTAAGGCTCTGGTAAACACCTCTGAGTGTCCCTCTAGTGCCTGGTACATACTTGCCTAGTTATGGGTACTCGGTCACCAGTGGATCAGTGAAAGAGGGGCGCAGTCACTGAGGGTTGGAGGCCTGGAGTAGGAAGTCTGTTTCTACCTTCCTCCAGCTCAGGTGATACTGAAAATCCTGCAGCAGGACAGATCTGCAAGCTGGGTCCTTCCTCACTAGCTAGAGCAGAGCATCCCAGCCAGCCTGAATCTTTCCCACCCCTCCTCAGGGGGGGGGGGGCTGGGGGGGGGTGGAGGCAGGACCAGGCTCTGCCTGAGGGGTTTGCTCAGGCAGCAGCCGGGACCCAGCTGTCTGCTATGGTTTGACTTTCTTCCCTCCACCCTGGATTAGCCATTGAGCAACTCAGCAAGTATCTGACAAGACAGTGCTCCCCAAACCTGTTGAAACTCGCCCAACCAGGGCCCTGTGGGTGCGCTCACTCGGGAAGCTGAGTCTCTGCACCAAACCTCTGGCTCTTCTTCCTTCCTGGGGGAGGAAGGACTCAAGCTGAACCAACTAGGCACAGGTTAATGGGGGAGGGGTTGCTGGCAAAGGTGATAGCACCCGCCTTTGGACCCTCCAGTCACCCCTCTGTTCCCAGCTAGTCTGCAAGAGGTGTTCCTAGTTTGCTCTGCAAGCAGCTGGGAGGAGGAGCCGAGCCGCGACCTATAGTTGCTTCCCAGATTTCCACAAGAGTTGCCAGGTTTTATCTCTGAGTCCCAAGCTGCATCTTCAGTGATTCAGCCAGCCTGAGGGGAAGCTCACTCCCTGCTGTGACCCAGCCAGTCCCCTTTCTCCTGCAACCCCTCTCAGCCTCCCCCATTTTCTGGCAAACTGGAAACCAAGCTATGTTTTAGAGGTTCCCCCTCCAAGTCAGAACCCCTACAGCTCCTGGAAGGGACTTGGTCTTCACAGAGAGCAGGGGAGTGGGGAGGAAAGAAGGGAGGAACTATCCTGCCCTTGTCCTAGGGAGGTTCCTCCCACCCCGGACAGCTCACAGGCAACCTTGGAGGGGCCTGCTCTCTGCAGGGGATTGTTGATACCACAGAGAGGAGCCTCTGATTTGCTGGGACTCTATTCCCGGCAGCAGCCTACAATCCCAGAAAGACAATCCCAGGAGTTTCTCTCCCAAACTAGAGATAGCAGAACACTCCCTCCTGAGTCACAGTACCCCGCTGCCCTGGCACCCTCATCCCCCAGCTTTAAAGATGAATCACTGTTGGGGAAGGTCTCAGGGACCCTGAGCTACCAAACAAGGGAGTGGTGGGCTTGCCCCTGGACAACATGCCTGGCACCTACCGGCATCAGTGCTGTCCGTGCTGGACTCAGAACCCCACAGCAGATTCATAGCAAGGCTAGAATTCCAGCCCAAGTCTCTTTCTCCTCAAACCTTGCCCCGTGCCTGATGAACAGAAAAGTTGAGCACAGGATATAGAGAGGAGACCTGGGAGGGTCTCTGCTGCCAAATTAGAGGCCAGGTGAGGTCAGGAGGTGCCTTAAAGCTGACACCCACTCACTCCAGCAAGACACCTGACTCAAGGAGAGAAGACAAAATGTTACATCCTTGCACACAGTGTGGGGCCATCCAGGTTCAAGGCTTAGTCTTCTTGGCTCTGAGGCAGCTATTTGCTCCTCTTTGGAAGATGGAAAACGGAAAACGAGAGAAGAAACTGACCCACTCAATTAGGAGGGACCTCAAGAGTTCAAAGCTAGCCTCAGCTACATAGTGAATTTAAGGCTGTCCTGGGCTATATGGCACGGTCTTTAAAGGGGAGGAGGGATAGAGCATAGTGGTAGAATGCTTGCCTAGCATGTATGAGCCCTAGCTTCAGTCCCCTAGAGTGTGAGGATGGATAGATAGATAGATAGATAGATAGATAGATAGATAGATGATAGATAGATAGATAATCCAAAAGAAAGGAAGGTCTGAGCTTCTGGGGTCAGGGGTAGGAGGAGTCAAGGATCCTAGGAAACAGAAAAAGTGAGCCCCAGAAGAGACCAGCATCTCTCTCCAGCTGACTAAACAAACATGGGGCCTACCATAGTTCGCCTTGGCCTTCAGAGTCCTATCAGGCTGGGAAGAAGACACGACAGAAGCAGCCCCCAACCCCAGAACAGAGTGACTCCAGTGCCCGGCCCCTCCCCCCACTGCCTGCCCGCCATTGGTTATACCTCCTTCCGGTGACCTCAATGGCTCCAGAGACCACAGACACAGACAACACTGCACACTAGAGCCATGGAAACATTTATTACCACAACATCCTTCACTCCCAATAGTAGTTCAATACCCCTGCCGTAGATAAAAGTCTCGGGAAGAATCTGTCCAGGGAAGAATACAGCCACCTTACTCAGATCTGATGACACTGAGGGGTCCTGCCCTCCAAGCTCCAGGGGCCATTTTTGGAGCCTATGAGTCTGCTCCCAACCCCAGAAGTCAAAAGGCCTCATTTTCAAGTCCTCACCCCCAGTGGAGCCTTGGAGCCCTAATGCCTTCTTCCTAGAGAGGAGACATAAGGGGAGGGACACCCTGCTCTGTGGTGACTTGGCTATGCAGTGGCATGTGATGACACAGGTGACAGGTGTGGGAGGGGCCGGGCTTCAGATCATCTCCTTTCCCAGTCTCCAAGTTCCCTGGGCATACTTGAGCTTATTCTGGACAGGGGTAGCCAGCTCCTGATCTCCTTGAGAAGCCAGTCTCTCCTCACCGCCCTTCACCCCCGATCCCGGAAGTGTCAAACTGAGAGCTAAACAGAGCTAGAAGCACTGGGGACCACATCTCCGACTCTGAAAACGTACCTGGAGAGTCTTTCTGAAGTCTACAGTTTAAGTCATACCAAAGTGATCCACCATTCCCCTGGAAGGGGGCAGAGCTGAAACAAGGCCAGGGCCTGGCTCTGTGGGGACAGAGAAGGTCCAAACAAAGACAGACAGGCACAGAGTCCCATAAGGTCCAACTTGGGGGTAAATAGAGAGTACAGGGCAAGGAGGGCAAGGAGAGTAAAGAGGGTCATGGAGAGAGTCTACCTCCTACAGTAAGAACAACTGGTCTCCCCATTTTACAGATGAGTACATTGAGGCCAAGCCTCCAAGATGTTCACTAACTTGCTTTGAGTGACACAGGGATAGGAGTCTGACCCACGTCATTTGCCCGCAGAACATTCTGCCTGCCCAGAGGAGGGGCAAAGGTCTCAAGGACAGGCCACTATGGTGGTCGGTACAGCAACCACTCAAACTGGTTAAAGAAATAGTGGACAGTTTGAATGGTTGGTTGTGTAGCAAGGGTCCTGGGGAGCCGCACATCCCTCCCTGTTTCCTAAGAACACTGCCCTAGATGGAGTCTGTGCCCCTTGCTTCTCTCTCTGTGTCCCCTGGCGGAAGGCTGCTCTGGCTTATGCACTGCTTCCTTTGGGTACCCCCTTCTGCCAACTTGGCCTCCTTCCTCTCTCGTATGGAGGGCACAACTACTCCTGAGGAGTCTCTAAATGTGGCCTGGGCAGGCAGGGAGGCCAAAGGGAGGGGGCAGAGAGGCCTGGGCTGGTGTCCCAGCCCCCACCTGGACACTGTAGGGCCAGGACCAGCGCCACTGACCTGCTTGGCTCCCCACCACGGCCTCTCTTTCCCAGCCCCTCTCCTTTAGAGTCCAGGGAGCACCAGGGAGGAGCCACAGAGGTGTGGATTAGCCTCTCCAATTTTGTATATTTTGTTTAAAAAAGCAAGCAAACCTGGAAAAGCTTGGGACAAGCCCAGCTAATTTTAGTTTCTAATGAAAACAGCAGGTGGCTGAGAGGATCTGATCTCCCTGGCAGGGCCAGGGCCCTCCGGCCTCTTAGCAGGCTGAAGGCACAGAGGGGAGGGCTCCTGGGAGGAGCCTGCAGGACCCACAGGCCCCATTTGAGAAACTGGGCATGAGCTGGCCAGCGGCTGCAGCAGGGGCAGCCTGGGCTGGTGGGGTAACCTGATCAATGGCACGGCCATGGCTGGAGCCCTGGGTGGCCAGAGCAGCAGGTGACAAATTGCTAAGCCTGTGCAATAGCAGGAGGGAGCCTAAACAGGACAGGCTGTGAAAGCAGGGATGGTCAGCCTCAGACAGACAGCCCAGGGGCAGCCGACACCCATCAGGCCCTGGCTCTGCCTCTTCCAGAAACGGCTGTGCAGTGGATATTTGAGCCCGACCCAGCTCCCGGGTCAGTGAATGGCACACGTGTCTCTGGGGGAAAGGTTGAGCCACCGTAGAACACTGGGAGGGACCACAGAGGCCATCCACCCCCATCTTCCTCTCTCACCTCTGCTCTTCTGCCATAGGGGTGGGAGAGCATCAGGATAGAGCCCCTAGCCAAGCTGCAAATATTCCTGAATACCTTCTGTGTGCCATGCCCTGTGTGAGGCTTGAAGGGATGCAGCCTGAAGAGTCAGCTCTCCAGCTGTCCAGTGAGGGGCAAATCCCCAGGCAGAGAGAGACGGGGTAGAGTTGAGAGCCAAGAACTGTCTACTGCTAGATAGCTATGGGACTTACAAGTTGTTACGCCTCTGTGGGCCTTGGTTTGCTTTGTTCATCTGTGAAATAAGGTCAGGTACTTGCCAGGCTCCGGGATAAGCAAGTGGCATGAGAACAGGCTACAGCCACTGAGGACTGGGCTGCCAACCCTCTCCAGTTTATGCCAGCTCTGGCACCCGCCAGGCAAACTCCTGGGGTCTCAGAGAGCAGGAGCAGAGATGGCCAGGCCTCCCATACATGGGAGGGGCAGCTGTTGTGTCCAGTAAAGGCAGGACTGGGAGGTGGGCACGGGTGCTGTGACAAGCAGTTTCTCGTCATCTTCCTGGATGCTGTCCCGTTGACTCATGGCTATGGCAGCCGGGCAGTGTCTCTGCCACTGTCGTTCCGGCCAGTCTCCCTATTACATTCAGAGCCTGAGGGAGGAATGTTTAGTTCCTCGAGTCCATCTCTCTCTTTTGGTGGCATGGGACCGACAGCCCTCTTCTGCCACCAGAAGGAGAGAATTCGAACTCTGATAGTGGGAAAGGCTGCAAAGACACAGCAGCTAACTCACTGTGCCGATAGCCAGTGCTGAGTAGAAGGGGACTTGCCACATGTCACAATGAACTGATGGTTTGGCCAGACCTCCCTACCTGTTCTTGGCTGGAGATTTCAGCCCCTGAATGCCTCCCTGCAACAGAGGCCGGGTGAGACCCAAGCCAGCCATACCCAACCTGCTTAACTTACAGGGAGGAAAAGAGGTCTAAATACGGTTAGGCAAAATATATGCCCCTGAGTCTTAGAGGGATTGGGGTGTCTACCCTTTTCTGAGAGTCCTCGCCTGAGTGGAGACAGGAAAATATCCAATGGTAGGTTCAACTGCTTGACTCTTCAAGGAAGGACACAGTGGCCACCAGTGTCCTGGCCCACCGCCAGTAGCTGAGCTCTTGGCGCCCCCTGCAGGTCAAGTGTGACTTTGTGGCTGAGGTTCTGCAGGAGACCCCCTTCAAATGGGAAGGGAAGCAAGGAGCACTCAGGCAGGGCTGAAGCCAAGGTCGCCATTTCCAGATGTTCCCTTCTCCTAATGCTTAACATACCTTTCTCCTTTCTAAGAGACTCAATCTACACAGATTGGTCAGAGTGCTAGTCTGGGAATACATACCCCAGGACCTAGGGAGATGGCTCAGTCTGCAAAGTGCATGCTGCCAAGTATGAGAACCTGACTTTGATTCCCAGAACCCCTGCAAAAGGCCAGACCTGTTAGAGAGGCAGTGGGGGCTGGAAGGGGTCCTGGAATGAATGCCACAGTAGGTTGATCTGTCTGGCTCAGAGACTACCCATCTCCTTTGGTCCACTGGTGCTGCCAGGGTCAGCTCCTAAGATGAATCCAGCCAAGCCAGGTGCATTAGCACAGCGTGCCATGTTTCATCCTCACAACAACCCTTTGGAATAAAAAGCCACGATTCCAGTATGGATAAGGAAAGCTAGGCTCAACTTTATAGCTGGGGGCTTGAGGAGAGGACTCTTCTCTGGGAGCCAAGACTACAGTGTAGATAGGGATGTCCTAGTCTGAGCCTTCTAGAACTTGGTAGAAACATCACAGATAATTTTTCAAGACTATTCTCTAGGCCAGTGGCTTCCCAGCTGCTCCTCCTCAAGCTATGGTCAAAGCTCAGAGCATAGTGACCGTATCTGAGGTGAAACCCAGGCACCCGTGCTCTCTATCACCCCACAGATGACCTCCAGGGGCAGAGAGGCCCAGCCTGCACCTCACCCAGCATGCTTTGTTGGAACAAACCCAGTTCTCAGATGCTTCTGCCCAAACCGTCAGTCTCTAAGTCACACAGAATCTAGCCAAGGGTTATAGAGTCAAACAAAACAAAAGTTCTGCCTCTCATGAGCTGTGAGCCTTATACGCAAGAGCAGGAGATGAGACAGCACCCTGAACCCTGGGTGTGGGAGGAGAAACGCAGGCATCAGGGCAGCCGTGTATCACATCCAACCGCTGCCCTCAGGTACCTGGCCAAGCTGTCATCAGTGGGCAGCATCTCTGAAGAGGAGACGTGCGAGAAGCTCAAAGGTCTGATCCAGAGGCAGGTGCAGATGTGCAAACGGAACCTCGAGGTGATGGACTCAGTGCGCCGCGGCGCCCAGCTGGCCATTGAGGAGTGTCAATACCAGTTCCGGAATCGGCGCTGGAACTGTTCCACACTGGACTCCCTGCCTGTCTTTGGGAAGGTGGTGACACAAGGTGAGGAGGAGTTGTTCTGGGGACTTGGGCTATCTGTGTGCAACCCTGGGTGTCTGGGGAAATGATATCTCTAGGGCCAGGCCCATCTAGGATGGTTCAGGAGCAGGGGCAGCACAATTAAGCACACTAGGTAGAGGGCAGGAGGAGGTCAGACAATGGCCTGTGATCACAAAGCACTCTTGAATGCAGCTGGTCCAGACGTAGAAGCTGGAGTGGTCCTTATTTTCCAGAGGGAGAAACTGGGGCTCTGAGAAGAGACAGCCTCAGGCTCCTCAGAGGATGAGCAGAGTCAGGCTTCACCCTGGGGTGCTCTGCTCACCTTGCCATTGAGACTTGGGTCCCGGAAGCCATTTGTGCATGTGATAAGTCTACAGAACACCTCATGTAGCCAGCTCCTGTCCTCTGGGGCTCACAGTCCATCAGGGACCAGACACTCTACCGCAGCATGGTGGAAGCAGCTCACACACCTGTGGCACTGACCATGGGCCAGGCATTATTCTAAGGACTGTGAGAAACACAACACTAACACGCCAGCCCTTTGAGTCAGATGTCTACGTAACAAGTGAGGAACGGAGGCCCAAAGCAGCTATGTCATTTGCCTAGGGTCACAGAACTAGAGAGTGGCAGGATCTGAATGTGTGCCAGGCAGGGGATGAAACTGTCACTCCCAATAAATACAGGAGCAACAGAGCAGGAAGTTGGGGGTCTCACCTTGCCAATACTGGGTACTATAGAAAGGCTTTTGCAAGGAGATGAAGCCCCAGCTGAGACTGGTAACATGAGAGCCAAATGCAGGTGAGCCAGGGCCAAGCAGGGGTTCTGTGGAACTGGAAAGTTCCTGCTGTCCAGGGAATGCTGAAAGCCAGCTGCTTTTCTACCTCCTGAGCAAGAAGCTGACATTTCTGAGACACCAAGTTGTTGGGGCTCTTTGACTCGCTCACGCTGCAGGAAGGGGCTGCCTGGGCCAACCTTTGTCTTGGCACCTGTGGGTCTGGACATCCCTGGCTGCTAGGCCTGTGGCAGACCGTTTGGATGCTGTTGGAAACCAACTGTCATTGAAATTTGGAAGCCATTCTCCTGGGAGCTGGCAGGGGCTGGCAGGCATGAGCACATTTGGCATTGCTGATCTCTGCTGTTCTGAGAAAGAGACAGATACCCAAGGAGCAGCCCGCTGGTAAAGTCTGCTGGTGCCCAGGGCCCAGAGCTCTACTGGTGAGGTCCAGAGCCATCCTTCCTAAAGACATTGTTCTCAGGACATCCCTTTCACATAGTAGGTGTTCCAAGTATCCTCTAGTGAGGGATTCCCTACCTTCTCAGTGCTGCAAACCTTTAACACTGTTCTTCATGTTGTGGTGACCCCCAACCGTAAAATTATTTTGTTGCTACTTCATAATTGCAATTTTGCTACTGTTATGAATTATAATGTAAATATCTGACATGCAGGACATTTGATATGGGACCCCTGTGAAAGGGTCATTCAACCCCAAAGGGGTCATGAGCCAGGCTGAGAACCACTGCTCTCAGGGACTGGCAGATAGGTCAACAAGGTTTCCCATGCTGGGCTGTCACACCCCTGTCTCTTTGCACATTCTATGTCCTCCCCAACACCCAACCCCTTCTCCACCAGCTAAGCAGCCCCTACTCAGCCCTTCCCTCTGCCCCAGCCCTTCCCTTTGAGATCTATGCCTTTGCAATGTCATTTCTTTTAAGATATTCTCTTACTAGCCCAGGCTAACCTTAAACTTGGTAATCTTTCTGTCTCTGTCTCCCAAGTCCTTAGCTGACTTACAGGCCTCTATATTCTTTATAAAGGGTATATTTTGTATTTTTCTTTCTTTCATATAATTCCATATTTTAAAAAAAAGTTGCAGGGTGTGATTTCTAGATACTTGTTTTTAGGGCCACTGGACACTTTAATATAGCTGACTTGCAACTATGTATCCAGATGTATATCACATTACTTTATACCTCCACACTGAAGCGTGACAACTTCCTGCCCATCCCCCTCTTCTCCACCACTGCATCCTCAGGCAACAGTGATAGCCCAAGTACCTGTCTCCTGGGATACCTCCAATCCTGGCACAGAGGACAAACAGTGGGTGTCAGCTAGTGATGGAGGCAGATCAGGACAAGGACGTGAAAGGGCAAGGGGAAGGAGCCTTGACTGGTGAGTGCCAGCCAGAAGCCAGGACAGACCTCGGGAATAGTTTGCCTTTCTCACCTGTGGGCAAAGCCAAAGAAGGGACTACTAGCCCTGTCCCCCCTGGGGGATAAAAGAACCCTACCAGACCAAGCTGTTCTAGACTAATGTCTGAGTGGCCTGGTCAAGTGTCCCTGTCTCTTTAGAGCTAAGCCAAGGCCTTAAGGACCTTAAGACCAGGCTGGTCACAATAGGCAGACATCAGTGGTATCTGGGGGATATGTCTGAACTCATCCCCCACTCCACCCACCCACACACACCTTCCTCCATTTTGTATTTGGGTTTTTTCACAAGTAAAGTTCCTCCTAGAACATTCTTACCTGGTCAGTCTCCACTGAGCCAGGGGAAAAGGACTCATCACTTCAAGCACAGGCTTGGCTCTGGAGCCCCAGAAGTTGAAGGACAGCGGGAGACTTCATCCCTCTGGGTCCTTGCCTGTCCCATCCATAACTCTTAGAGCTGTTGCCAATATTCAATGACTTGTGCAGTAAGTACTTTATATAAGCCCTGACCCGAGAGAGGGCTGGCTAGCATCCTCGGCAGTGACTACCAATCTGGCAGACGTCTTGTCCCCAGCTCTCAGGAGGCAGTCTTAGCAGATGTCTACATACATGAGTTACCTGGTTGTGGTAGTGACTTCAGGCATACAAGGGGACAGAAAAGATCCTCTTTTGGGTCCAGACTGTAGCCAGTGAAGAAAGGAGTGTCATGTGTTGGCCTATCCTGTGCTATCTAGCCCAGATCATCCTCAGAGCAGCTCTGAGTTTATGTCATTCCCAACTTACAGCTGAGAAGTCTGAGGGAGCCAAGGGTGGTGGTGACCCAGATCCTGTCTCTGCCAGCTCTGAGAACTTGGGCAAGGACCGTGCCCTCTCTATAACTCAGTGTCCTTCCTAGAAAGTGGGGACAAACCCAGGACCCACCTGCTGAGATCCTGGAGAGTGCACAGGGCAATGATGGAGCCGTGCCCATTCCCTGGCCTCCATCGGGACACCCACCTGGTGCCCAAAGGTCGCCACACCCAGGGCCTCCTCGCCAACCCAGCTCAACTGCAGCCAGTTCTTCCCCAGCTCCAGCTCCTTTCTGCTGGATTGGCTTCCCTCCCACCATCTGGAGAGATGTCACCATGACGTGTTCTTGGGCCTTGAGTCACACAGTCTCTCTCCGGTCCCCATTTTGCCATGTCTTGCTGAAGACAAGCCTTGTGTTTTCAAGAGAGCAACCTGAGATTGTGTGAGTCCAGAAAGGATCAGCACATAGAAAGACCCACCCCCACCCCCGCACACAGTGGTCCTCAGGAATAACAGCTATTGGGCCTATAGGGTTGCTTCGAACTCTCAACTCCAGGCATCTCTTAGCCCCTTAGAAATGACTGCACTGAAGGCAAACCTAAGGGACACATAGGACTCAGACCTGTGCAGCCAAGATTTGGGGTACTCTGGGAAGAAAACCAGCAGAAGGGAGTTGCAGGTGTGGGAAGGGAGCCTGGCAGGGTGGCAAGGGAAGAAAGCCACAGGGTGGGCACTTAAGAGTTCTGCCTTCCTCTGGTCCAGGATAGGAACAAGCAAAGATGCCTCCCTCCTACAACTACAGCATGACCGAGGTGAAGTATCTGTCACCTCCCCAGGATACCCCACTGTGGCACTCCCAGACCCACCATAATGCCCTTCTGCCACTAAACAGCCTCTGGGGGAAATCAGGTCCTGCTGGGTCCTCTTCCAGAGACCAAGGCTTCCAGCCTGGGTACCTGGGAAGCCACAGGGGCCACACTACTGAAGCTGAGTGGCTGGAACCCAGAGTCAGTGAGAGAAGACTGAGTTCAAATTCTGGCTATCCCAAATCCTAGCTGAGGAACATTGGGCGGGCTGCCTCGCCGCTCAGTGATTCACTTCTATTCTATCGTGAACAGCTCTACCTCAGCTAGTGTGCTAAGTGCTCAGACAATACCTGCACATAGTAGGCTCTCTGTGAGCTGTAGCTTTGGTTAATAAGGTCTTGGAGAGCCTCTTCCTTCGTTCAGTCACTCAGAAAATGATGATGACCTCAGTTGACCCAGACAAATGAGAAGGTGGTTTCCCAAGCAACCTCACAGCGGGACTGGTACCCACTAAGAACCACTGGCACTAGGGGGCAGAGGTGAGCAAGAGCCAGGGTTGGACAGGGACTGCCTGGGCAGTTAAAAAAGCAAAGGGACCTCCTAGGGCAGAGGGTTAAGGCCACCCACTAGTCCAGCCCCATCTCCTGGGACTTCCCTTCCCCCTTGGTCTTTGGGGCAATGATTTGTGCTGGTTCAGGCCTGGAAATACCAGAAATACCAGAAGCTGAAGTTGTCTCTCTTTGGGCGGCCACAGTATAAAACCAACCAACATAAGCCTGCTATTAACCTCAATTAGCTTGGAGAAGATTCCATCCCAGACTGTCGAGGCCCCATTGCTCCAGCCAAGCCCCTCAATGCAGGCCCAAAATGGCCAAGCAGCGAGTGGGCAGTGGAAAGGACCGTGGGTGGTACTCCCTGCTTAAGAACTGCACTGAGAACAGGCTGTCCTGCGTGTTGGGGGCTAAGCTGCCTCCTACTCCAGCGCCCAGGCTCGGCTGCCTCTGTCCACAGACCAGCACAGTGGAGGTGACTGTTTTCATCTGACCATGGTGACTGCTCCCTAGGGCGGTTGGGAGCACAAGTCTGGGTGTTGCAGAGGTAATTGCCAACCACGGGCCTAAAGCCTGCCCCCACCACTCTTGTGGACACAGACCCTGCATCTAAAGACAGAAGGCCAGCCACAGCACACAGAGGCCCTCACAGGGTCTTGGATAGGAGGAGCAAGGCCCACTGTCTGGTCACACACCCAGCCGGCACCGATGCTCCGCTCACACACTGCCCCAGCTCACCCCCAAGAAAGAGACTCCACAGGAGCTACACCCCAGGAACAGTTCCTAAGAGGATAAAAACGTCCATTCAGGCAGGGGAGGAGGGCTGTCACCAAAATAGAACTGCTGAGCAGCTGTGGGCAAGAGATGCAACCACGACAGAGAGGCGGGCAGACCTGTGCTGCAGACTCCTGTCTCTAGCACCTGATCGTGGGACTGGGACGGGCTTGTGTGCAGTGCCCTCCCTACCCCCAGTCAGCAGGAGGGGCCCGGTACTAGGAGCTGCCAATACTATGGTTTGTTCTTCAGGTCTCAAGGAAGCAGGAGACATTGTGAGCTGTAGGGCTAGCCTGAGGAAGAACTCAGGCTGGGTCACAAGGGGGAACTTAAAGCCCAGGGAATAGTTCAACAATGGGGCAGAGCTGGGGTGGCAGAGTGGCTGCGCTCCTTCACAGTGCTATAGCCATCTAAACTCCCCAGACTGTCACAAAATGCCATGACTGTCCCTTGCCTTCTGGAGGAGGAGGCGGGGAAAACAGCATTCTTCGGGAGCTGAGTGATCAGACCCTGAAGCCAGGCTGTCTGCTGGCTCAGCCACGTGCTGTGGGACAGGCTGCCAAGCCTCTGTAAAATGGGGGTGACCATAGCGCTTGCCTCACCAGGCTGTTAGGAGGATGCACTGGTCCTCACGTGTAAAGGAGGTTCGGCTACTGGTCTGATCAGAACAAGGACCTACTGTGTGTTTGGCACCTGCCTTGTCCCTCCTTAGTGCCAGCATTCAGCAGCCCTCATACACCTCTCCCTATCTGCAAGGAAAATACAGATGTGGTGGGACCCCAGGACCTAGCCCTTTCCTCCCTCTGCCTCCCACAGGGACCCGGGAGGCGGCTTTTGTCTACGCCATCTCTTCAGCAGGTGTGGCCTTTGCTGTGACAAGGGCATGCAGCAGTGGAGAACTGGAAAAGTGTGGCTGTGACCGGACAGTGCACGGGGTCAGCCCACAGGGTAAGCACGTCAGTCCAAAGGGGAGGGCAGGGACCTATCCCTGGGCCCAAATTCACCCCAGAACTCTTTCTGCCCTCCACACCCCAGGCTTCCAGTGGTCAGGATGCTCGGACAACATCGCCTATGGCGTAGCCTTCTCGCAGTCCTTTGTGGATGTCCGGGAGAGAAGCAAGGGGGCCTCCTCCAGCCGGGCACTCATGAACCTTCACAACAACGAGGCTGGCAGGAAGGTAGAGTGGTACCAAGCCCATCAGCACCGGGGTAGGGCTGCATGGGCAGTGTCCCTAAAATGACCCCATGGTTACCGTGGAAGCTCATCTTCTCGTCCGGCACCTCTGTAGGCCAGGGGTTGGCAGTGGGGAGAGCAGATCCAGTCCTGTCCACTCAGACATCATATGCTCACCTGTGACCCCATCTGCCTTCCTGATGTCTACTCCCAGGGTCTCTGGAGATTCGACACAGTACTGTGCTCCTCAGGTCACCTGCCACTCACTCAAATGCCCTACACTGCCCTTCACCGTGTCCTCCAGCAACTCTAAGTGCCCCAAATGCAGGGACAGTACCTCATTGCTCTGTCCCCAACACCACTTGCCAGCTCAGCACAGCATCCAGTAGATATTTATACAAAAGAGGCACAACAGTGAACCCCTAGATACTGTGTCAGTCCTCCTGGCCACCTGTCGATCCCCGGGGGACCCTCCCCCTCCTCACTCCCCCTGACTGCCCCCCTCCCTCCTCCCCACAGGCCATCTTGTCACACATGCGGGTGGAGTGCAAGTGCCACGGGGTGTCGGGTTCCTGCGAGGTAAAGACGTGCTGGCGAGCTGTACCGCCCTTCCGTCAGGTTGGCCACGCCCTAAAGGAGAAGTTTGACGGCGCCACGGAGGTGGAGCCAAGACGAGTAGGCTCCTCCCGGGCACTGGTACCACGAAATGCACAGTTCAAGCCACATACGGATGAGGACCTGGTATACCTGGAGCCCAGTCCAGACTTCTGTGAGCAGGACATACGCAGTGGCGTGCTAGGCACGCGGGGCCGCACATGCAACAAGACGTCTAAGGCCATTGACGGCTGTGAGCTACTGTGCTGTGGCCGTGGCTTCCACACAGCACAGGTGGAGCTGGCTGAGCGCTGCGGCTGCAGGTTCCACTGGTGCTGCTTCGTCAAGTGCCGGCAGTGCCAGCGGCTTGTGGAGATGCACACATGCCGGTGACTGTGCCCGTCTGTGCCCAGGACCAGCTACCTGCGTGGCCCAGGGATGGCCAATAACTTAAACAGTCTCCCATCACCTACCCCAAAAGATACTGGTTGTATTTTTTGTTTTGGTTTGGTTTTTGGGTCCTCAAGTTATTTATTGCCAAAAAAAAAAATAGGCAGGCAACCCCAAGGGCACCAACCAGGGGCTCCCCAAGCCTGGGCCTTTGTGTGTGGCTGCCGCTGACCAAAGGGACTTTGTTTATGCCTCTGGCTGTCCACATTGACCACTGCTGACTACTCAGCTCTTGTCGGTGTCCATTTTTCTACATGTAGTCTAAAAAGTAGGTACTAAGGAGTGGCTGTAGACCCCACCATCCAGGGAAACAGATGGCCCAGTGGCAGGGATAGCAGTTCCATCCTGGTGGAATTTATATCACCTGCAGTAAAGGAACTTGCACCTCTCCACCCCACGTATACACAGGGACCACTAGGAGCCCTGGCTCTTAAGGTCCCTAGAAAGGGAATGGACAGATATCAGGTTAAAGGCTAAAAGGCTCTCGGCCCTCACATTTGCAGCTAGATTCCAGGCAAGCACGGGTGAGCAAAAGCAAGAACGCGCACCTGAGGCCAGCCTGCCTCAGTCTCCTCCTTGGGAGGGGAAACTGCCTGTACTCCTGGACTCTCCTACGCAGGGATCCTACTGTCCTCCTACTGTCATCTTGGATCAGATCCTAGCTTGGGCCTAGCGAGTCACACACTCTGACCCCATTGTGAGTCACCCTCACAGTTTTGTTCTCTGTGAAGCTGAGAATGGAAATGTCACAGAGACGGGAAGGGACTCTGTAAAGAGATCCCACCCTGTGATATCTCCCTCACTTAACAAAACCTACTGAGCAAACACTATGCCCCAGGCCCTGTCCTGGGGTATCACCCTTGATGATCACATCTGTCCTGGGAACAAACACAGATGTCCACACCCTCTTTACAGCAGGTAGTGATGCCTGTCAGCCCCACAGGACTTTGGCAGAGGCAGTGCCAGGCACCTCCTCGGGCCTGAGCAATGGGATAGGGGCTCTGGCTATTAAAAAAAAAAGGTACAGGAAGACAAGGCAGGAGGAGCCAGAGACCACAGACTGGGCTGGAGCCCACATGGCTGCAAAGGGATGAGGCTGAGTGGAGATGAGAAACAGCTAGAAGGCTGACTAATTAGGTCTCACAATCCAAGGCACCTCCATCCCCAGGACCCCGGGTCCCCAAGACCTTGAGTACAGTAAGGACAAGTTTCCCCAAGGGACAGCTTCCATATCTGGTGCCTGGCCCAGTACACCAGCCAAACTGTCAAGAACCTACCAAATGCTCTGTGAACAGAACACACACAGAACCAACTGCCTCTCAGTTGGATGACCAATCCTCAGAGGAACTTTACAGTCTTATCGCCAAGTTGCTCCCATGTCCAGGACTCCAGGTTTGATGCTTCAGTTCTGGGATCCCCTTTGGGACTCTGAAATCCCAAGCTCTTTGCTATCAGGTGGTACCAATGCCCAAATCCAGGATTCTGAATATGGGCGCAGGCCTGCACAAACTCTCCTCTGGGCCTGTGGTTTGTGCCTTCTGGTGTTGGCTCCTTTACAACAAGGGTCAACACCCTTGGCCCCCATCCAAGCTCTCTGCTCATTGTCCATCTGAAGAGGCAGCCAAAACCAAGTGAGATGTGGAACCACATTCAAATGCAAGGATAATCTTGGGCAGGCTGTCTCTGATGTGGATGAAAGCTGAGCTGACCAAGGGTCCCCACAGCTGCCCAGCTGGGCCCACTGCTCCTCTGGTAGACTTAGTTCAGCACCAGGAAAGATGTGACCCCCTCCACAGAGCCAGATCCAGACTAAGGAAGCCTGGGGCTACCCCTTGCTGAGCCAAGGTCCCCATCCAGAGGCAGTGGAGTTGAGACTGCTTATATTTTTGGATACTGTACCAAGAAGGAGGGTATCTAGCTCCCCTAAGCTGATCCTCCCAGAGTTTTGCAGGCTGTGACTAGGTGAATCAGACCACAGGCTAGAACCACTGCCAAGGCCAAAGGAATCCACAGCCACAGTGGGGGAAGGGGAAGCTTCACTGGACTTGTCCAGCTCCAAACTGTCTCAGATAAAGAGCTGGCAAAGGCCTGACATTGCTCATATTTGGGTCACACAAGACCCAGGAAACTGGACAGATGGTCCATGAACCACTCTCCACTGCTCTTGTCACAGGCAAACATGGTATTCCTTCTTCCAAGGCCAGGGTTGGGTAAAGCCAGCTCTGGATGCTGCTACTCTTCTCTGCTGCCCCACCCCGTCCTCCAGTTTTTATATGAGGCTCCTTGGGATTGTGACATCCCCATGCCATAGTCTGAGATGCACGATAAAATGGTTATTTCTCTATCTGCCAATTTGTAGCTGTGACTTTCTTTTTTTAATAGAATAGGGAGAAGAGAGATGCTTCAAGAAGGACATGGGTAAAGCAGGTACTATTTGCTAAGTAAGTATTTATAAAGGAAATTCTAAGTATGAGAACATCGCACCCTTGTCCTTCTGCTTCTAAAGAACTGGACTGCGGCCTAGCAGAACTTACCTAACGTTGCCCGAGACCATCAACAGCGGTTTGGTCTACACTACGCCATGAACAGCTATATGAAGTTTGCCCTGACTTAATTGATCATTCGTTTCAAGTGTTTGTGTGGGGGAATAGAAACCTGATAAAACAGGTGTGGATGCAGGACAAGGGACGATGGGACAGAACTGCATTCCTATCTTCAGATAAAGGAACAAGAGACCTATGGCCAGAAGGCAATTAGAGAAATGAAAACACACACACACACACATCCTCAGCTGAGGATCTTGCAGTGTGGACACCCTGGGAACCGCCATTCTTGGGGAAGCCCTCATCCTTCACCAGCCTGGTACCACTCACAATGAGACAAATGCACAGCAGCCTAGGGACAGACTATGTGTCTGCCTTCCCAAAGCCCTGCTGACACTAGGAGTGTGCTTTCTGAGTGGCAGGGGCAATGTGTGTTTGTGACCAGCAGGCAGGATGAGGTCAGGGGAGGACCTGGGATGGTGGAGCAGAGGGGAGTTGTTTCCTAAACTAGGAAATCACAGCCACAATCACTGGGCTTGTGAGAATCACCAGGCTGCCAGGCCCCTTAGGTGACTCACTGTCCTCTTTGGAGTTCATTTCCTTGTCTGCACTATGGAGCTTGCCATCACACAGACTTCACACAAGGATGTATAACAGAATGTGTTTCTTGGAGATAGGTTAAACGAACACCAGCCGCCCAGAGCTGAGATAATCAGGGAGCAGACACTCGGGCAGCAGCTAGGAAGCTGAGGCCAGTGAGCAGCCTAGAGACTCCTGAGTCACTCCGCTCCACAGTGGTCAAGAAGCAGGGGAAAGGAGCGTGGTCGGAAGTGCAGACGGGACTCTCAGCGCTGCAGTGAGCATGCAGCAGGCCTCAGCTCCCAGGCTGGGTCATGTGCTAGGTAGATGACCTGGGAACTCTGACTTAATGGTCTCTGGATAGAGTGTGAAAATGCCTTAGAGTAAACAAACCCTCCTCCATGGGATGTAAGAACACAGGGGGCACTAATACTAAAATGGGGTAGGAGCTGAGTGAAGAGATGGTGGGAGGTGGGAGGACGCACAGGAGGGAGAGAGAGGCGTGGGAAGGTGCCGAGGCCCTCTGGGTGACAGCTGAGGTATGGAGCTCAGCAGATTTAGTTTGGAGTAGGGTAAGGATCTAAGAATGCAGGAGAGAAGCAATCGTGAGAGTGTGGCCTGGCCTTCTCCAGGTGATGATTTCATAGGCATCCTCCGTATCTTCTTGAGTTGATACTGATGACCCCCTACCCTTTTCTCAAGGGTCTAGGCCAAGCAGGCGTTGACAGGGGAGGAGAGAAGGGACCCTTTAGGGCCAGGACCCCAAGACTGGCAGGGTGCCTACTTAGGGAGGAGGGGCTAAAGGCCCAGCCCTTGTCAGCATCCAGGCCGGCACTTCGGAGGCAATTAGCAGCCCAGCTGAGCTAATCCCCCCGCCTGGCAGGGCCAACACAAACAGGCCCAGGCCGGGTGCACACTCGCCTCCCTGTTTGCCGAGGGGCCCGGTGGTCCGCCAAGAACAACATCTGTAACCCGGGGCTTTCTCTAGGTTAAAAGCAGGACCCAGCCTTACTGAAGGGTTGACAGTGCCCAACAGAGCATGCTCTGGCCAGATGCCCTAGCTGCCCCAGAAAGACTGCCACTGTTCCCAAGCTCTGAGCCAGCAGGGAAGAGGAAACTGGACACAAGGAGCCATGCATCCTGATTCAGCACATGCCTCCACCCATGCCACCTGTGAGGGAGAAGGCCTGTGTTATCTTGGCCAACCTAACAACCTGAGGCCAGCAAACTTTTGGTCTGGCCCAAGGATGCAAGCTCCATGCTGGATTGGGAGCCAATGGGCAGGTCATACCAGGCCCTTGCCTTCAAACAGTTGTCACCAATCTAGTCAAAGAACAGACTGGGTTCTGGGAATGGCCAAAATCTAACCCCCATTGGCATTCTCAAGACTTGGTGAGGTTAAAAGTGAATTCCCAAGACAAAGGGGAGGGCTAGTACATGAGAAGAAACAAGCAGAGACTCAAAGACTGACAAATGGAGGAGATGGTGCCAAGGAAGAGCCACACACTGGGGGTTGGGGACAGGGGTTATTCTGTCAGCTTAGAGAGCTCGGCTCAGTCATCACTGAGATAGACAAGTCCCTTCTCAGACTCCACTTCTGGATTCCTGACAGGCTTCACCTTCATCAGACCTACTAAGTCTGGGACATCTTTTTAGGGCCATGCCTCTACTTTCAGTTTGATTCTTTACCTGCCCAAAGACTCCCGCATCTCAGCCACTGCGTCTTCACAGGGCTCCTGTGTGAGACACTGGCTACAAACGGACCTTGGAAGACAACAGCCTCCTTTGGAGCTTCCACCTGGGAAATTGAGAACCACGCATACCTGTGACTGGGCCAGGTCCCCGTGGGTCACTGAGTGGGTCACCAGTGCCCAACACTGCCATCTTCAGGACACCTCCTCCACTGTGGATCAGGCCCACATGAAAACCTCCAACCAACATTTGTCTTGGACACAAGCAAATAGCTGAGCATAAGAATTCCTGTGGGACAGGCCAGTGCAGAGGCAGGCACGATTTCTGTCCATGCTGAAGCTGAAGACGGAAGACCACAGAAGGGAAGACACTTGCTTAAGGCCCAAGCCCAGAGCTTTGGCTTTCTGATCAGGT